AGCTGTACTTATGACCCTACTTATAATACCCCTAAAGGGCCTTATAGGGGTTATCCCACTTATAAGTAGGGTTATAAGCCCAGTTATAATTGGTTAGTAAGTACCATGAACCTCCAAGTAGTGTGGAGCGTTCTCGCAAGACGAGCGTCTTGGCTTTGAGGCCCCTACTTGGAGGTTCATGGGCACTTCTAACCCAACCATAAGTCTACTTCTAACCTACTTAGAGGACGTAGGGGGAGTATAAGTGCAGCTCTAATTGGGGTTTTGAGTGCCCATGAACCTCCAAGCCGCCCTGCACACCCGTGTGTCCTTCATTTGGCCACTGCCAAACGCCTCCTGAGATGAATCACGTCATGAGCTGGGCAGACACGAGTGGCAAAACTCCCCAAGCATCACAGAGACACGGTTTTAGGGCTTAGGGCTTCGGGCTTCTGGTTTAGAGAGCGGCCGGACCTCATAAATGCAAAATACAGATCTCCCACTAGGACACTGCATCATAAGGCGGGCGGCTGCGAACTCTTCCTCCGCGGTCCTGGCAAGGGCCCGAGGGGTTGGGGTCGGGGGGCTCTCTCCAACACCTCTCAGGCTGAGGGTTTAGGGTTTAGGGTTTAGGGTTTAGGGTTTAGGGTTTAGGGTTTAGGGTTTAGGGTTTAGGGTTTAGGGTTTAGGGTTTAGGGTTTATGGTTTAGGTTTAGGGTTTAGGGTTTAGGGTTTAGGGTTTAGGGTTTAGGGTTTAGGGTTTAGGGTTTAGGGTTTAGGGTTTAGGGTTTAGGGTTTAGGGATCAGGGTTACGGAGGTAGGTTCTAGACCCTGGCCCCGCCTATCTGTGCGGCCCGTGGCATCGTAGCGCTTTCGCTTGTCCTGGTCCGTGAGCACGTTGTAAGCCTGGCCGGCAAAGGCTTCGGAAGGGTGATGGTAAAGTAGCGAGTTGTTTAGATATATCCCGTCCAGGATATGGACTATATGCAATAGAAAAGAAAAAGTCCTGAAACCCTAAACCCTAAACCCTGAACCCTAAACCCTAAACCCTAAACCCTCAACCCTAAACCCTAAACCCCCACCTTGTTCAGGAGCTGAAACTTCTTGGGGTCTCCGCCCTTGTCCGGGTGCTCGGCCAAGACCTTCTTGCCTCGGCAACCAAGAAGCTGCTCTAAGAGGGCCTTACAGGAGTTTAGGGTTTAGGGTTTAGGGTTGAGGGCTTAGGGTTTAGGATTTAGTGTTTAGGGTTGAGGGTTTAGGGTTGAGGGTTTAGGGGTTGAGGGTTTAGGTTTAGGGTTAGGGCTTAGGGTTTAAGGTTGAGGGCTTCGGGTCTAGGGACCTTGCACTAAACCACCCCCAAAATAGCTTTCAAACCGAAAATCTGACCGTCCTCTGACTCCTCCAGGATAGGCGTTTGGGGACTTTAGCCTCCAGACGTACAAGAAAGGTTTAGGGTTTTAGGTTTTAGGGTTTAGGCTTTAGGGTTTAGGGTTTAGGGTTTCGGGTTTAGGGTTTAGGGTTTAGGGTTTCGAGGGCTTGCGGCATGTCAGGGTTTTAGGAATGAAGTCACTGCTAAAGGGCCTCCAGAAACTCCTTCGGGCTTAGGGTTTTGGGTAGGTAACACACCGAGTTTCGGGTTCAGGGTTTAGGGTTTAGGGTTTAGGGTTTAGGGTTTAGCGTTTAGGGTTTAGGGTTTAGGGTTTAGGGTTTAGGGTTTAGGGTTTAGGGTTTAGGGTTTAGGGTTTAGGGTTTAGGGTTTAGGGTTTAGGGTTTAGGGTTTAGGGTTTAGGGTTGAACTAAACCCTAGACCCAAAGCCTAGCAAGCCCTAGACCCTTGCACTGGCAATTAAACCCTAACCCGACACTCAAAAAACCTCAGACCTCAAACCCTCACCCCAAGTCTCAAACAAAACCCCTCCTAGCCCTGACCCCGAGCCCTAGACCCTAAACCCGAAACCCTAAACCCCTAAAACCCTAGAACCCCAAAACCCTGGCACCCTAAAACCCGGGCACCCTCGAACCCTAAACGAACCCTCGATGCCCAGAACCCAAGAAACCCTACAAACACCACAAACCCCACAAACCCCACAAACCCTACAAACCCTACAAACCCTACAAACCCTACAAACCCTACAAACCCTACAAACCCTACAAACCCTACAAACCCTACAAACCCTACAAACCCTACAAACCCTACAAACCCTACAAACCCTACACCCTAAACCTACAAACCCTACACCCTAAACCCTAAGCCCTACAAACCCTAGACCATAAACTCTAAACCCTAAACCCTAAACCCTAAACCCTAAACCCTACAAACCCTAAACCCTACAAATTTAAACCCTACAAACCCTAAACCCTAAAAGCCCTAAAAGCCCTCCTTGGGGCCCCGGGCGGAACTCGGCACGGATCTCCTGCAGCGTGGCGCCGCGCTGGACGCCCAGGAGCTCCTGAGCAGCTATGGGCTTGGGGCTGTAGGGTTTATGGTTTAGGGGTTCCAGGGTTAGGGGTTTAGGGTTTTGGGTTTAGGGTTTAGGGTTTAGGGTTTAGGGTTTAGGGTTTAGGGTTTAGGGTTTCAGGGTTCTAGGGCTCTAGTCTAGGGCTCTAGGGTTTAGGGCATAGGGCTCGAGAGTTCCGGGGGCCTAGAGCTTCGGTTAGGGGGGGTTTAGGGTTTAGGGTTCTAGGGTTTAAGGGCATTAGGTTCTAGGTTCTCCTTGAGGGTGTAGGGTCTAGGCTTTCGAGATCCGATACCGAGCCCTCAGCCCTCAACCCTAAACCCTAAACCCTAAACTCCGGGCTCTGGAAACCCTCCCCTACCCACGGAACCCAACCCTGAACCTCCTTTGGCCTCTCAACCCTAACCCCGAACCCTCCAGCCTAAACCATGAATCCTAGACCCTAGCCCCGCCCCCAACCCAAAACGTCTACCACCACCACCACCACCAGCACCACCAGCACCAGCACCACCACCAGCACCACCCTAAACCCTAAACCCTAAACCCTAAACCCTAAACCCTAAACCCTAAACCCTAAACCCTAAACCGTGGCTCTCAGCACCCACTCCCCAGGAGAAAGAACATGCAGCAACGGCGCATAGTAGTCAAGCTCAGGAGCTGCCATGGCCTCGGATGTGCTCTCTTGGGGAAAGGAACCCTGCACCCCCACACCCCAACCACTCTAACAGTAGACCATCCGGTTCCTCAAACCCTAAACTCTCCACCCTAAACCCTAAACCCTAAACCCTAAACCCTAAACCCTAAACCCTAAACCCTAAACCCTAAACCCTGAACCCTGAACCCTGAACCCTAGGGCTCCTCAAACCGTAGGTTTCGAGGGGCTAACCTGGAGTCTTCAGGGGTTCGGTTCGAGGGCTCAGGGGGGTTTAGGGTTTAGGGTTTAGGGTTTAGGGTTTAGGGTTTAGGGTTTAGGGTTTAGGGTTTAGGGTTTAGGGTTTAGGGTTTAGGGTTTAGGGTTTAGGGTGTAGGGCTTCGGGCTTAGGGTTTAGGGTGTCTGTGGGTTATGTAGTGGGTGAGATGCTGGGTTACATAGCCCTTATATGTCTCTATGGGTCATATAATGGGCTATATAGGGACTAGTTCCCATAGAACTCTGCAAATCTTATTGTAAGCCAAGCTCCTGTCATGTATAGGGATTAGGGCCCTCTAGAACTTTACAACTTCATTTGGGGGTTTACGAAAAGGGGACCCCTGAAATAGACCGCAAGTAGTAGTCCCCTTTGAACAGGACCCCAATAAGGCACCCCAATTTCGGAAGCCACCATTTCCGAACCAAGCCCCAGAACCCTAAACCCCAAACCCCAAACCCTAAACCCCAAACCCTAAACCACAAACCCTAAACCCTAAACCCTAAACCCTAAACCCTAAACCCTAAACAAAGCGAGGCACAGGAAACGGAGCGGGGAGGCGGTGGCCGAGATCGGTGGATACAGCTGGAAATGCCTGCGGATCTCTGAGAAACTGCGCCCACACCTGCCACCTCTGCGGCCAGCACCAGCTCTGTGGGCATCAAGGTCGTTCAGGGTTTAGGGTTTAGGGTTGAGGGTTTAGGGTTTAGGGTTTAGGGTTTAAGGGTTTAGGGTTTAGGGTTTTAGGGTTTAGGGTTTAGGGTTTAGGGTTTAGGGTTTAGGGTTTAGGGTTTAGGGTTTAGGGTTTAGGGTTTAGGGTTTAGGGTTTAGGGTTTAGGGTTTAGGGTTTAGGGTTTAGGGTTTAGGGTTTGGGTTTAAGGGTTTCAGGGTTTCAGTGTTTCAGGGTTCTAGGGCTTCCGGGTTGAGGGTTTTGCGGCTCATCGAAATCATGGGCCTTCTGCGGTGCCCAAATCTATGAGTAACATGGCGCAAACACTAGTCAGCCCAGCAACCTAAGATGAAAAAGGGTGTCCTTTCGTTCTTCAAGGGGTTGATAAGCGAACCTAAACCGCAGAAAGGGAATAAGGGTACTGCTGGACATCCTAGATATAGAGAACCCGGACGGGCGCAATCAAATGATTACTTCACGGCTTAGGGTCCAGGGCTTAGAGTTTGGCATTTTTCGCGCTACTTCTACCCGCAAGTCAAGAGGCAGATGTTGCGCTCTGAACTTTCAGCCCCTATTTGCGGGACGCTAAGCATCAGGGGGGCACATTGTAACAGGGATCCAAAACGGTGACCAGAAATCAGCGAAGCAGGGACCAGAAACTAGAGAACTGACCATGTTTCATTGAGTTTGCTGTGGGGCGTGTCTCCATAAGAAATACATCTGGCTTAGGTCCCAGTAGCACCTAAGCCAGATACAACCCTCAAACATGTGGGGTTCAGGTTTAGGGTTGGGATGTTCCCCCTTATACGAACAGTCCTTCATAGGGATTATCGCAGGGGGTACGAAAATCCCTGTTTAAGGACTGTTAGTGTTTGTGTTAGTTAGTATAAGGGGGAACATCCCAAGTTTAGGGTCACAGGGACAAGGAGACAGCGGCCTACGGAGGATGTGATTGTGCATGATCTGGCAACGATCTGGGCCCACGGCCAATCTCGTTCACGTTGTAGACCTTGATAGCTGAACCCTAAACCCTAAACCCTAAACCCTAAACCCTAAACCCTAAACCCTAAACCCACTGACGACCTACCAGGCCTCGAACGGATTCGACAACCAGAGCCAAAAGCCAAAGCCATGAACTCGAAACCAACGACTTTGAACAAACCGTTCTCGAAGTCACGCGACACCTTTTCTTGGCCATCCTAAACCCTAAACCCTGAAAGCCTTTGATCTCTGAATGCTGAACCTCCGAGCAGTTCCTGAAACCAGTGGGTGGATTCCCAAATGATTCTGGGTTTAGGGTTTAGGATTTAGGGTTTGGGGTTTAGGGTTTAGGGTTAGCCTATCCTATGAGGAATACACTAAACCCCGGTCACATCTAAGATTTAGGTGTGGGGGGCCCCTGCAATCTTCAGACCCAAAAACCCCGATGCCCATATGAGGCAGGGCTTTTTATTGTTAGTCTCCCCAAAAACCCACTTTTGGTGTACTATAATATATATATATATATGTATATAGATATATGTTTGTATCTATTAATCTATACATACATACATGCATTCCTATGCTCACAGAATACTCATACGGAACCATATAGACACTCACCAATACCAGCAATATGGGCCCTACCCCATTTCCCTTAACCCGAAACTGTAAACCCCCAACTGTGAACCCCAGACCCCAAAACTGAAACCCCAAACCCTAAACCCCAAGACCCCAAACCCTAAACCCCAAACCTTAAACCCCAAACCCTAAACCCTAAACCCCAAACCCCAAAGAACTCCCACGGAGTGAGCCCAAGAGACATAGAGCTTCGGGGCGTAGCGCTGCAGGGCACGGCCTGGTTATTCGGGCTTAGGCCTTAGGCTTTAGGGCTTTAGGGTTTAGGGTTTAGGGTTTAGGGTTTAGGGTTTAGGGTTTAGGGTTTAGGGTTTAGGGTTTAGGGTTTAGGGTTTAGGGTTTAGGGTTTAGGGTTTAAGGCTTAGGACTTGGGGTTTAGGGTCCGCCGACCCTGGCGGCGTGTTGGATGGGTTTGAGGAGGTGAAAACCTCCCTCTTTCCCTCCTTACCCCCCCAAAATGCGGGGGGGGGGGGTAGGGGGGGTCGGTGCACAATTTTTTCGCAGAGGACCGCACCACCCGCACAGCGTAAACAGGCGGTTCAGCACAGCGGGGTAGGGGCGCCCTCAGCAAAATCAGCGTTTTGCACCCACCCCCCCCCCCCCCCCCCCCCCCCCCCCCCCCACCCCCCACCCCCCCCCCCCCCACCCCGCCCCCACCCCCCCCCACCACCCACCCCCCCCCCACCGCCCCCCCCCCACCCCACCACCTTCTTGAGCTTGTCCTGCTGCTACCCCCTAACCCCCCCCCAAACGTTTCACAGAACTCTGTCGAGCAGGCTGGGATGTTTACACCTCTCAACTGTGCTCCAGCGGGGTCGGCGGCTTGAGCCGGAGGCTCTTAAATTTAAGGATTTGGGTTCCCCAGAACTCCCAAAGGCTCCCTAAGCTTCCCTAAGGTTCCCTAGCTGCCTACCCTCCTTGAACCCCCTTTGCCTAGGGACCCTATAATGAAACCACGGGGGCTTGCTGTACCTTTGTCAGTGCAGGAACCCTGCTTTCAACAACCTTCCAAGATAACATGGCGTCTCTACGTAGTCCCGAAACACCCTAAACCCTAAACCCTAAACCCTAAACCCTCAACCCTAAACCCTAAACCCTAAGAATCCATCGCGATGTCCAGCGAAACACGCAGGCTACAAGAACAGCTGTGGCTCCATACCAGCGTGGTCTTGCTTCTCGAGCCGAGGTTCGACTCAAGCCCTAAAACCTAAAGCTAAAACTCAGACCCTAAACCCTAAACCCTAAACTCTACACTCTAATCCCGAAACCCTAAACCCTAAACCCTAGAACCCTAACACCTAACCCTAAACCCTAAACCCTAAACCCTAAACCCTAAACCCTAACTCAGGCTCAGGCTCAGGTCGGCAGCAGTCGCAATCAAGCCGTCCTGCTCTGCTGCGCAAGTACCAACACGCGTGGCGACACCACGTTCGGGTTTAGGAGCTTAGGGCTTGGGAGTTTGGTGTTTAGGGTTGAGGGCTTAGGGTGTAGGGTTTAGGGTTCAGGGTTTAGGGTTTAGGGTTTAGGTTTTAGGGTTTAGGGTTTAGGGTTTAGGGTTTAGGGTTTAGGGTGCTAGAACTCGCAACTGTCATTTTGCATCTGCTCCTCGTCGTAGATCGCCTGCTCGGCCACCTTAGACACACCGCAGCTCCCCGCTCTTACGACGCTCGCTCCGAGAATGTGGCGCTTCTTAAGGGGCATAAGGAGGGACTCATAGAACCCCTCTTTATACAGTCCCTACATACCTAAGTAGACCCTAAACAAACCCCCATACCCACTCCGAGAATGTGCTGCAACCCTTAAGAGACATAAGGAGGAACCCCCCAGAAGGGACCCTTAATCTTTTTCACCTATTTAACCCCTATATATCTACCTTATATATATATATGTATACATACATATAAATATAGTCCCGATGTACCTGAGTAGCCGCTGCATAACCCCCAAAACAACCCCTAAGGTCTCTTATAAGGGTCCCTCTTGTAGTCTTGAAACCCCAAACCCCCAAAACCCTAAGGCCCTGACAAGCCTTAAAAAGCCCAAAAACACCCGAAGCAACCCCAAGCCCACTCCAAAAACACTAAAGAAAACTCGGTTTAGGGTTTAGGGTTTAGGGTTTAGGGTTTAGGGTTTAGGGTTTAGGGTTTAGGGTTTAGGGTTTAGGGTTTAGGGTTTAGGGTTTAGGGTTTAGGGTTTAGGGTTTAGGGTTTAGGGTTTAGGGTTTAGAGGCCCGAAGCCCCACCTGATCAAGGAGTCATACTCGGACCCCTTGAGGGCTGCATCCCTGAAAGGTTCCCTTCATGTACTCCTTCTATACCCCAAAATAGAATAGAATCCCCCCCCCCCAAGCGGGTAGCCCCCTGTTTTCGGAAACCCCCCATAGGGCCCTTATATTCCCTTAGGGGATCTTGAACAAGGGTCCCCAAACCCAAAGGTACCACCTGAGGGTCCAAAGTGGTTCAGGGTTTAGGGTTTAGGTTTTAGGGGTTAGGGTTTAGGGTTTAGGGTTTAGGGCTTAGGGTTTAGGGTTTAGGGTTTAGGGTTTAGGGTTTAGGGTTTAGGGTTTAGGGTTTAGGGTTTAGGGTTTAGGGTTTAGGGTTTAGGGTTTAGGGTTTAGGGTGCCCCATGATCTGAGCCGACTGGGGCTCTTGCGGGAACCCCGAAGTATCGCGCGATGTTCTCGCGCAGCGTGATGCTGAAGCCTGCTTGGAGGGGTTGGGTTTGAAGTTCAGGTTTTGGGGTTTAGGGTTTAGGGTTTAGGGTTTAGGGTTTAGGGTTTAGGGTTTAGGGTTTAGGGTTTAGGGTTTAGGGTTTAGGGTTTAGCGTTTAGCGTTTAGGGTTTAGGGTTCAGGCTCTACTTGGTTTTTTTTGGCTTCGGTGCGGGGTGCCTCTCGAGTTCAGGGGGCCCATAAGCCCTGAGAACCCTGAACCCTAACCCCTAAACCCTAAACCCTAAACCCTAAACCCTAAACCCTAAACCCTAAACCCTAAACCCTACCGCTCTCCACTCCCGAGCCTGATGCTTTCACCACGTCAGCCATCTCATCCTCGGCGCGGGCTGGAAGATCTAAACCCTGCACTCCCCAAGCCAGAGACTCCAAAAAAAAAGGTTTAGGGTTTAGGGTTTAGGGTTTAGGGTTTAGGGTTAGGGGTTAGGGTTTAGGGTTTAGGGTTTAGGGTTTAGGGTTTAGGGTTTAGGGTTTAGGGTCTAGGGTTTAGGGTTTAGGGTTTAGGGTTTAGGGTTTAGGGTTTAGGGTTTAGGGTTTAGGGTTTAGGGTTTAGGGTTTAGGGTTGAGGCTTTAGAATTTAGGGTCTTAGGTCTTGTCAGGGACCCCAGGGTGCCCTTTGCCACTCAGAACTTGGGTTTAGGGTTTGGGGAGTACTTGGACGTCCATGGGTAGTTCTGAATAGGGTCATAAGCATGGTAACTACACTTTCAGCCCTATTTAGAGTAGCCCACAAGCCCGCAAGTCTTAAGCCCCTGAAAAACCTCCAAAGCCCTAAACACCTAAACGAATCCCCCTGAACCCCCTGAACAATCCCGTCCCAAACCCTAAACCCCAAGCCCCAGACCCTAAACCCCGAACCCTGAACCTTGCACCCTAAGCCCTAGTTAAGCCCTAAGCCCCAAGAACCTGGAGCCCTTGAAGCCCTAGAGGCCCTGAACCCTAAAAGCCTAAAACGTGACATCCCTCAACACCCCAGGGCCAGCCAAGACCTGAGTCAAGGGGTTAAGGCCCGTACCCCCTAAGGTTGTACCCCTGAGGGTTTCCCTTAATTTTGCCCTAATATGGCCCTGCTGTTCCCTAAGAGGATCTTCGGGTCCCCAAACCGAAGGGTAAAGCCTTCGTGGTCCAAGGTGGTTTAGGGTTTGGGGTTTGGGGTTTGGGGTTTGGGGTTTAGGGTTTAGGGTTTAGGGTTTAGGGTTTAGGGTTTAGGGTTTAGGGTTTAGGGTTTAGGGTTTAGGGTTTAGGGTTTAGGGTTTAGGGTGCCCCTTGCTAAGATCTAAACCCGCAAGCCCCCTAAGCCTTTAAAACCCACATGAATCCTGGACCTAAGCCCCTTAGACCCTGAGGCATTAACAACCTGAAAGGCTGAAAGGCCAGAATGTCCCCCAACCTCGCCGGGCCCCCAAGCCCCAGAAAACTAGCTTAGTTTGTAGGGCTTTAATTAGGGTTTGGAGCTTGGGGTTTTAGGCTTTTGGGGGCTTTGAGGTTTGATAGGGCTTTTGGGGGTTGAGGGTTGGCGCTTCAGGGCTTTGTCCCCTAAACCCTAAACCCTAAACCCTAAACCCTAAACCCTAAACCCTAAACCCTGGGGGGGGGGGGGGGGGGAGCTTTCAGAACTCCAAGGGAAGGGCCACATCAAACCAGTCGTGGAGTAGGCCATGCACCTCCACGGAGAGGACTTTGTGAGAGGCCCCCCAAAAAAAAACCAAGCAGGAGGAACCAAAAACTCACCTCCCCCTCAACAACGTGGGACCTTCTCACTTGCAACAGACATGGGCGCAAATTGTGGGTGGGTGGCAAAGGGGTTTCGGGCTTAGGGCTTAGGGTTTAGGAATAAATTAGGAACCCTAAACCCTAAACCCGAAACCCGAAACCCGAAACCCTAAACCGCAACCTAACAGAAGGGTGCCTCTAAGGGTGGAAGGCCTGAGGCTCGGCTCTAGTTTCGGGTTTAGGGTTGAGGGCTGAGGGCTGAGGGCTGAGGGTTGAGGGCTGAAGGGTTAGGTCCTCCCCCCTTCCTTGTGTCCACTCGCTCATTCACCCACCCGCTCACATACTCACCATGTACACCTATGCATCTATGCATGTATGTGTACACACATTGTATATACTGTACACACATTGTATATGCGTATGCGTATATATATATATATATATAAACTGTCTGGATATGTTTACACAAAAGCATAGATGTGCGCTCTGTCCATATGTTGTGTTATACTGCATCCAGCACCAGCACATGTCTAAGCCACCCCTCCCCCGCCCAAACGACCCCAAACCTCCGACGAGCCACTCATCCCAGAGACGCCCCTTAGAACCATGATGCAGATATCTACCAATTGCTTAAGAACCCCCCCCCCCCCCCAAAAAAAAAAAAAACAATAATACTCTTCCTTGTAAGGGTAGCGTAGGGATTCTAGCTTTTATTTTGGGGGGGCTCTTAAGCAAATAGCAGATATGGGGCTTACGACATATTAGGGTTGCCTTTTTGGGGTCCTTATTGCAAGGGGATCCTACAATTTGGGGGTCCATGTTAAGGGGCCCCCTGATTTCGTAAAACCCCATACGTAGGAACAACAACAAACCAAACAAGTCCTAAGGCGAGCTTGACGAGGATGGTCCTTAAAACCCTCTCAAAAATTTACTGAATGTGATCCTCTTAAACCCACAAACGGGAAAGTATAAATGTCCCAAGGGCCTACTGAGTTGATGAGTCTGGTTTGGGGTTTAGGGTTTGGGGTTAAGGGTTTAGGGTTTAGGGTTTAGGGTTTAGGGTTTAGGGTTTAGGGTTTAGGGTTTAGGGTTTAGGGTTTAATTAGGGTTTTTAGGGTTTTTAGGGTTTATAGGGTTTATAGGGTTTATAGGGTTTATAGGGTTTAGGGTTTAGGGCTCTTCGGCTTTGTGGCTGGCAGCCTCGATTCGCAGCATCCGCGGCCGCTCTGCAGATTTCAGCGAGGTGGGGCTGGCGACCTCCGCGACAGGGTTTAGGGTTTAGGGTTTAGGGCTTAGGGTTTAGGGCTTCGGGTGTAGGGTTTAGGGTTAAGGGTTCGGGGTTTAGGGTTAAGGGGTCTAGAGTTTTGGGGTTTAGAGCTTAGGCAGGATGGGCTTTAGGGTTTAGG